GGTCCTGTTGTCGGGCGCGAGATGAGCATGGTCCTGCTGCCGAACATGAGACGAGCTCGGTCCCGCTGCTGAGCGCAAGACGAGTTCGGTCCTGCTGCCGGGTGTGAGACGAGTAATGGACCGCAACTGGGGGAGGGCCAACCATCGACGAAGATAGCGAACAGATGACCGAGAAGATGGACACAGGCCGCACACCGACGGGCTGACGCTGAAGATGTCCAACCGCCGCTGTGAACAACCCAAACCACCGCCATGAGCCACCACCATGTCACGGCAGCCCACATCCACGTCGGGACCCCTAGGGGGAGCCCCGCGCCGCCGTACCGACGTGCACCACTGGGAGAGGCCAGCCCAGCCGCAGACGTCGCCGGCCACCCACGCCCCCGCTCCGGCCACCTCCAACACCCAAGGACCACTGGAGATGACCGGACCACGCCGCCCGCGAGAACAGCCGACCGGAGGAGCAGCCCGCCATATCTGGATCGGACCACCACAACCCCGATACCGCCCACACTGCATAGGCACACTCTGTCGACCCCAGCAGCCCCCCATGCGCCGCCAGCAGCCGCCATCGTCCCGCCCTGCCCAGCGTCGTGCATAGACCTAATTCGAGAAGGCTTGATAGTCCTAAGAAAGGTGAGGGTGGGGGTTCTATTTAAAAGGAATAAGAAGAATCTCATTAATGTGTTCATGCTAACAGAAGAGCGGATTCAATACACATAAGGCTTTTTTTCCAGGAAATTTGTAATGTAAATGCGGCCCCCGCGCGCCCGCTCGCGGGGGCGGGTTGGGTGAGTCGGGGGTTTGTTGTTTCTTTAGCGGGATTGTTCTGTGGTGGCTCCGGACGTTGACTGCGTGCGTATGTTCAAAGCTAAGTGTATGTGTGTGAAGGTCTGCGTCTCGCAATGGCGGAGCTACGTGCAACGCTGAGGGGGTCATGGCCCCGAGCCCAAATGCAAATATTTTTTTACTAGGTAGCCATGCCCAACACCTTTTGGATGGCCCATTCACGTACACTTAGAAGGCCAGGAACTTGCTAAGTGCTCGGCTGCTAGATGCTCGAACATGATAAATGGTTGGTATTATCACTTTCCTGTGCGCACGAACCTGCTAGATGCTCGGCTGCTTCGCTTCTTTTTTCCCTAACCACGCTCGCTGATCGGGCACGGCTGCTCGCCTCCGTCGCCTGCTCCATCCATGAACCAAGCCGCCACACTGCCTCGACGCGGCGCCGAGGATAAGCTCGCCTCTGATCTGCGTGCACAGGAGGAGGTTGTAAGGGGAGGACAAGGGCGCCTAAGACGGTCGACTTGGGCTCTTCGCCACTGGCCGGTGGTCGTCAATGTCGGCCGGCCGGCAGGCCACCCCCTCGTCGCCCGCCGTCCCCCATACGAATTTCGGGATTTCTTGTTGCACTACAGATTTGTTCATCTAAGTAGTTTCTAACGGTTGCTTGACTTGGGGTTCAAAAGGAGATTAGAATGATCAATTGAGCATGGTTAAGAGCGTCAGCGGCAACATCCAGTCGTCCTTCAAAAGGCAAAGGACAAAGGAAGTAGCCGAAGATCCTCCACCGGCACAACATTTACCTCTGCTTCTTGAAATGGAACAAAAATCAAGATGAAAAGGCTCAAATGAATAATTCATTTCCCCTTACTATTGTATTTCGAGGTATGGAATGCCAAACATTGTTGAATCAGGCAGGCCATTTAGAAAATGTTGTAGCAGCAAAGGATAATAAAAATGTAGAAAGAACATTTCAGGCTAAAATATATCAACATTGACTGATCTTTGCCAACTCCGTGTTGAGATAGGAAGAGATATAATCTACAACTAATTGACAGACTACTCCGTCTACTTGTTACACTTCCAGTTTCTACGGCAAGCACTGAACATGCATTTCCCAGTTTGAAGATCATCAAGACAAGGCCGCGTAATAGGATGGAAGGTGAGAATCTTGCAAATAACTTGGTTGTTCCCATAGAGCGTGAAATCGCAGAGAAGTACAACTTTAGGGATATTTTAACAAAATTCAAGAGCATCAGGGATCGCGGAGCTAATCTATAGTTGTTAGTTGCCTCATAGAATGCCTTTGAAGTTTGAAGGCTAAGCGACAATTTATATGTTTTGGTGTGCTTAGTTCTCTTTTTTTCGAGGGTACGCAAATTGCGTACCATAGCTTTATAGAAGGAGAGAAAATTAGTACATGACATCTATGACTCGCTGGGAACAACGAGCGTAGCTCAACACCACATCCGGCTATCCTCCGGACAGCCACACACAACAACACAACTACAACACGGAAAAACCTGCCCAAGACCGAAACACCTCGCCGCATCTTGATGAACACTGAACACCTCCAAAGAACAGCAACTCCAGCTTTCTTTGGATTCATCCGCGACGACCATACATAGCGCCAGAGGAGAGCGGTCAAGGCCACGACGAACACCGGATGAGCGCCAACAGGAAACTCAGTCTCCTCGCACGATGCTCCCAACAGAGAAACGACGTCGCAGACGCCGCCATTATGCCGCCCCAGAGGACCAAGGCTTTCGCTCGGAGACAACTGCCAATACCAAGCACGAGGGAGATGGCGACACACTCGACGTCGCCTCCAGGGAGAGAAACGACACCCGCGGGTGCCATCGACGCCGGCCGGCCAAAACCGAACATGATTCTCATCCGTAATGTTGCGCATCTCCACTCCGACAAGGTGCATGGCGGCACCGTCCCTGAAGCCTCGCACCGCCGTCACCACAGCAAATCCGCTGAAGCCGCGTAGCCGTGGACCAGCACCACCCACACTGCCGAGAGAGCACGAACCATACCTCCACCAACATCACCGACGAGAAGCAACCTGAAAGTGCAACTATCCCTAGGTGGTTTTGGTAATTCATAACAACACATAGCTCATTGAGCTAATGCTATTCCAAGACATATATTTCAGGAAAGCTCAATGAATGGCATGGCATGGCATGGATGATGAAAGTGGATCCCTCAAAATACTAAGGACAAAGGATTGGCTCAAGCTCAATAGCTCAAGACTCTTCATTTTATATTTTAGTGATCCAAGATCACATTGAATCTATAGGAAAAGCCAATACTATCAAGGAGGGATGAGGTGTTGCTTAATGAGCCTCTTGCTTCATGTGCTTAGTGATATGCTCCAAAACCCTCAGCTACTTTCTCACATCCACAAATGACCTAAACCCAAAGCCAAAATCGGTCACACCGATTCTTCTTATCAGGCGCCACCGATTTCAAATGTCATAGCCACTGCCACAAACCCTAGGCAAATCGGTTCTACCGATAGGGATCTCGGTCTCACCGAGATGGGATTGTAATCTCTCTGTTTTCCTTCGTAACGTTTCGGTCAAACCGAAGTGAGCAATCGGTCCCACCGAGATTGCAATGTAAACTCTCTGTTTCCCTTTTGTCACATTTCGGTCTCACCGAAAAGAGCAAATTGGTCCCACCGAGTTTACCTGACCAACTCTCTGGAAAGCTTATTATCAAAATCGGTCTCACCAAGTTTGTGTAATCGGTCTTACCGAGATTATGTTATGCCCTAACCCTAACCGAATCGGCCTCACTGAGTTGCATGTCAGTCCCACCGAAAATCACTAACGGTCACTAGGTTTACTAAATTGGTCCGACCGAGTCTGTTGAATCGGTCCCACCGAGTTTGATAAATTGTGTGTAACGGTTAGATTTTGTGTGCAGGCTATATATACCCCTCCACCTCCTCTTCATTCGTGGAGAGAGCCATCAGACTAAACCTACACTTCCAACTTACCATTTCTGAGAAAGAACCACCTACACTCCCAACCAACACCTCCAACCTAGCTGAAGAACAGCAGCCACTCCGCACCTCCAGCAAGGGCCAAGACCGCCCACGACGGCCGTCACCCGCTCCAAGGGACGGCCTTGCGACGTCCCCAACACCAAGGGCCCGGTACGGACCCGAACAGGCTCAGATCTGACCCGCCTAGCCACGGGCAGCACCCACGCCAGCGCCACCGCGAGAGCGCCGTCGCTCGCCACACAGATCGTAGGTGACCGGCGCTCGCTGCTCGCCAGGAACGCCCTCCTAGCCGAGCCATCACAACGCCGCCACCAAACCTGGCCGGTAGCTCACGCCGTCGCCTCCATCATGCCGTCGCGCCCGTTCGCCACCAACACACCGCTGCCCATCTTTGCCAGGACCACCTCGCCGGAGCTGCGCCGGGGAGAAGCCCCGCAGCCGCCGGCGCTGCCAGGGCTTTGCCCCGCAGTGGTCCACGGCGGCGGTGAGGGAGGGAGGCGAGGAAGGGGGCCGGCGGCGGGGATGTTGGGTTCCCCCCGTGTCGCCTCAGAGAGGGACGCGGGGGTCGGGCGGTAGGGGGAATTTTGATTTGAGACTCGGAAATACTACTTGCGGTGTGCTTAGTTCTCATCTGAAGTATATATTGCTAAATGCTAATCAGACATGTATTTTTTGACCAATATGGGTAATATAACTATATAAGTAAAATTGCTTGGTGGCTACAAGTTTATGGTTTGCTGAAGTTGCTTCAGTTTTTTTTGTCCTTGGCCCCCCCATTGATTCTTGTCAAGCTCCGCCACTGGCGTCTCGTGTCTGTACCGTGTTTGGAGAAAAATATCAGAAGAGACGATACAAAGTCGAGTGCATGGACGGCACAAAAGTGAGCTAGTGTATGGTCGCCGGAACGAATCCGATCCCGGTCCGATCCGTACGATAAAGCCTGTGATCAAAGCAGGAAAAGATCGTCAGTCCAACCTTTTTTAGCCCAGACAGACATCTAAACCACCCGACGACGACTCGCTCAAACCCAAACCCAAGGCCAGCTCAGCAAATCAGCGACTCGGCTCCCTCCCCCTTCCTCCTCTCCCCTCCCCCCTTCCGCCTCCGCGACTCCCCGCCCCCTTTCACACCGCCCTCATCGCCCTCCTCCGATCCAAGAGCGCAGGCGAGCGGCGCGGCGCGGCGCGGGGACGGGATGGCGGCGGCGCCGCCCGACGGGCAGGAGAAGGTGATCGCGGCGGCGCAGCAGATCGTCAAGTCGCTCGCCAACTCTAAGAACGCCGCGGACGACATGATCCGCATCCTCTCCGGCTTCGACAACCGCTTCTCCCTCATGTCCGACCTCTTCCCGGACGCCGGCGCCCCCGACGCCGCGGCCGGCTCCGAGCTGCCGGAGGGGGAAGAGGAGGAGGAGGGGGAGTACGGGCGGGAGCGGGGGCCGCCCGGCCCCGGCTTCGGCGGCGACGACGACGACCTGGAGGACGAGAGAGACGCGGCGGTGGAGGAAGCGCTGCGGCTGGTGGAGCAGTGGGACTCCCCCGCGGCCGGGGACCGGCTGGTGTTCGAGTCGCCCGAGGACGCCGAGGAGTACCTCGCCGCGGCCGCCTGCCTCATGGGCGAGGCCGGCCCGCGCGTCGAGGCCGCGCTGCAGGTCGCCATGGCGCGCCTCGAGGAGGAGTTCCGCCAGCTGCTCATCCGCGGGACCGCGTCGCTCGCCGCCGAGGACCTGCACGCGTCCCTCCTCCGCCGCCTCTCGCTCACGGTGCCCACCTTCCACTCCGCCTCCTCCGTCGACCTCGACTGCCCCTCCTTCGCCAGCCACGCCGACGAGGGCGACGAGTCCTCCGGCGCGGGCAGGTGGAGCTCCGCCTCCGATGGCGAGATCTCGCCCTACCTCATTTCCCCCGACACCGTCAGCACCCTCAAGGACATCGCGGACGTCATGCTGCGCGCTGGCTATGGGCCGGAGCTCTGCCAGGTCTACAGCGAGGTGCGCCGGGACACGCTCATGGAGTGCCTCGCCGTGCTTGGGGTCGACAAGATGAGCCTGGAAGAGGTGCAGCGCGTGGAGTGGGGCGTCCTCGATGGCAAGATGAAGAAGTGGATCCAGGCTCTCAGGGTCGTCGTCCAGGGCCTTCTCGCCGAGGAGCGCCGCATCTGTGGCCAGATCCTTGCGGCCGACGCAGATGCCGAGGAGGAGTGCTTTACTGAGGCGGCCAAGGGGTGTGTCCTGCAGCTGCTCAACTTCGGTGATGCCATTGCGATTGGCAAGAGATCGTCCGAGAAGCTGTTCCGCATTCTTGGTATGTACGAGGCGCTAGCTGAGTTGCTGCCAGAGCTCGAGGCCTTGTTCTCAGGGGATGCAAGGGATTTCATCAAGGAAGAGGCAGAGGGGATACTTGTCAGGCTAGGGGATGCGGTGCGTGGCACGGTCGCTGAGTTTGCCAATGCGATACGTGGGGAGACTTCTCGCAGATCACTGCCAGGGGGCGAGATCCACCCGCTTACGCGTTATGTCATGAATTATGTGCGACTGCTTGCAGATTACAGCCGCTGGCTGAATCATCTTCTTGATGGTTGCGAGACTGAGCTGGAAAATGGGGGTGACAATGCGGATATGACTCCACTGGGTCACTGTCTGCTCATACTGATCACACATCTATTGGACAAGATTGAGGATAAAGCGAAGCTGTATGATGATGAGGCACTGCAGAACATATTTTTGATGAACAATCTGTGGTATGTTGTGCAGAAGATCAAGGATTCAGAGCTAAAGAGTTTGCTTGGGGATAACTGGATCCGTAAGCGCCGTGGTCAGATAAGGAGGTACTCTACAGGGTACCTCCGATCCTCATGGACCAGGGTATTAGCTTGCCTGAGGGATGATGGGTTGCCACAGACAACAGGTTCATCGAGTGCACTCAAGGCTGCCCTGAAGGAAAGGTTCAAGAGCTTCAACTTGGCTTACGAGGAGTTATACAGGACACAGACAGCATGGAAGGTTGTGGATCCTCAGTTAAGAGAAGAGTTGAAGATTTCCATCTCAGAGAAGGTCCTTCCAGCATACCGTTCGTTTGTTGGAAGGTTCCGAGGGCAGCTGGAGGGGGGAAGGAATTTCGCAAAGTATATAAAGTACAACCCTGAGGATGTGGAGAACCAGGTCTCAGATTTCTTTGAAGGGAAAAAATTGAATGCTTGATCAAACTGTCTATGTTTGAAGGTGAGTGCTAAAGTGCTATAACTTTCAGATTGTGCTTCCATAGATTGTTCATATCGGTTTATAGAAGGCTGTGCAGTCAGGTTTTTCTTTTTAGCAGCTGCATAATTAGATTTGCAGGATCATAATGGTACCTTCTACCTTGCAATTCAATTGAGCATTTAGTATGACATATGCTAAAAATTAGTAAGTTTACCTAACTACTGAGATACTACATAGATTGCACCCCTATTTTATCCTGCGATTGTAAAAATACATCACAAATATACTCCCTCCGCACGGGTTTATTGGGCCCCCTCGTATTTAGGCTCAAACTTTCACTATAAATTTGACTAATAAAATATAAACTATATGTCCCAAAACACTATACCGTTGGAATCCTCTTTCAAATAAAATCAGCATAAAACCATTGTTAGTCTAGATGGTCAAAGTTTGACCAAATACGAGTGGCCCCAATAAACCCGGATAGAGGAAGTACATTGTTCCATTGATTTTGTAGTTTATCGAGCAATGTTCATGATAAATTCGTGAGTAACTTATCGTGTTTGTATCTAATAGAGTAACAAAATTTGATTTCTCATCTGATCATGGTTTGTTATTCTTCTCGGTGCAACTTTAAGTTGTAGGACTGTACTCTTTCCTACATTTCTTAATAATTGAAGAATAAGGCTCTTAGAGCATCTCCAACTGGACTGGGCTAATTTGGGACCCTATACATCCGCGAAAGCGTCCGGACAGTGTCCGCTGCCAGTGCACGCCAGCTAGGGGTGGGCATAGAAACTCAGGAACCGAATACCGAACCGAAATCGTAACCGAAAAGACTGAAATTGTGGTTTTTATCCCTAGTACAGATAAATTCGGTTTTCACTTCCACTAAGGAATTAGATAAGGTTGGTTCGGTGTTACATCGGTTAAGCCGATAGAAACCGACCTGTATGGCAGGGTGTTATATTCCAGTGGAATGGATCACGCTCCTAGCCTCCTAGTCCTAGGAACGTAGACACCCGTGACTCCCACATGGCCATTGACGCCAAGACATTTTTATCACTTTGCTGATGCTAAGTTTTTTTGTTTGAGCGGCTTCATGGACGCTAAGTAGGCCTGGCATCCAGCAGCCAGTTAGGATACTAGTCGGCCTGCAGCCAGGTTCCCTGGACGCCACGCCCGTGGGCCTGCATGCAAGCCCCAAGCCCAACATACGTATTTCTTCTATTGTTTGAACCATTTAGCTTTTAGCGTCAGATGACAACAGTAGTCCAATTGACTTAATCCCACCTCGTGTGGGTAAAAGAGAAGAGGCAAGATAGCTCAGCTATAATAAGGATGGTTGTGAGTGGCGAAGACACGTATATGTGACATTTTTTCGGTACAAACCGGAAACAGAACCGAACAGGTCGGTTAACCGAATTTTTGGTTTACTTTTATGTTACAAATTTCAGTTAGCATATTTCCTAACTGAATTTGCAAATAAACAGAACGGCCTTAACCGAATTTTTGGTTTAAACCGAATGCCC